GTTCACTTACACTAGTGCAAACAATCATTTAAGGAAAATGTAGTCAATATCATAAAACAATATCAACATTAATTACTTGAAGAAGCACACGTTGAGTTTGGTTACCGAGGAACTGGGGATGGTTTAACCAAACAAACTTTTGACGATTATCCTTCGTACTTGACTTTGATAGCAACTTGATTGGCGAACATGGAAACCTTAGTTACTATTAAGTAAAATATGTGACAACGTCTGCGACTTGTCTTCACACTAACCATTAAAGTATACAAACAAGACACTTTTAATAAAACTATGTTTCCTTTTAGGTTCTTTAAAAAGGCATTTCGCATATCATTACCTGCTGTACTAATCATTTACTTTTTGCTCCTTTGCGCTGTGGCAAAAAGTATTGAAATTCCCAGGAAAGAAGTCATCTTTAAAAGAAGACAACATACCACTTTTTACATTTACAATAATTACTGCCACGCCGCCCTTAAACTGTAAATGTCTTAAACAAACAGAATACTTTTTAAGTTTCAATTTGTCGTATGAAAATGACCGACAGAAGAATTGGAAGTTTCTTCCAAACATTTTTATTTAGTAATTTCTCTCTAAACTGGTGTTTGTCCTTTAAATTAATAAAGGTACTAACTACACTTTGGTTATCTGAGCATAGCAACTACTCGCGGCAACTACAGCGCATGCCTGAGCTATCCAAACTTTCTACGTGCGCATGACACCGGAATTCCGCCCTGAAAAGAAGTGCCTCTTGAAGGAGGTAACTCACCATGCCCTTAACGTAACTTAACCTAGTGCATGTAGCACCTACGGGTGACCTCCAACCGGGGTGGGTTGAACAACTCATGCATTATAGGGGATCCAAGAGTGTCTTAATAGTCCCTGTAGAAAGCCATTCATGAAATTGGCTAACTACCAGGACTGCATGCTTTTACCGTACTAGGGGAAAGATATATCTTTTCTTTACACCAGAACCACCATCTTTTCTTTGTCTTCAATAGGTCTTGCTTGCTAGATCCAGTCTTCTAGGGTCTTCTTACAGATGCTATTTGCATCCTCTACGCTAAGGTACCATTTGAGCCCACTAATCCCAAGTAGAAGTTGCTATTCTCATACCAAACGTCACTTTCATTTCCGATATAAGTTACATGATCCTAACTATCCTTCTGCAAGGCAACGTCCGTGGCAAGCATACGTAGCTACTTAAAGCAGTATATTCACAAAGAGGTTTCCGAAGATAAATCGAGTATAACCGACACAAATGCATTTCAATAACAGGCTAATAACTGCTGATACAACTTCACGTTTACTAATTAATACACAAATTTTAATAATGAGCTCCAGAACACAAATAATTTTTGAAGTTAAACTAAAAAAAACTTTTAAAACCTCTTAATGAAGACTATTTTTGAAAGGAAGGGAGAAAACTACTATGAAAATTTGTATTTAATTTTGTACGCATCACTTTCTTTACAGTTATGCAAGTCCATCATCGTGGTGAATATAAACCACAAACATCGTTGTTTGACAACCTTATTTGATGAAAATTTTGTCTTTAACAGAGAAATATTCATGTCTAAAATCGAGAATGGAACGAAAATTAGTTTCTAAATCTAAGGTCTCATACTTTACATGAATAAAGATCACAGTGTCGTTTACATTTACCACTTCAATAGAAGAAAGATACTCTGTTAAAACCAACATTTATCACACACATTTACCTCAATGAAATTGGTTTCAATAAACTCAAGGTGTATTTCACAGACAAAGGGCTTTGACTTTTTTTTATCGTTTCTTTCTGCACGTACTGTTGTACAGAGTCATATGGCACGTTCTCAGGTTGAGTTAGTTTTAAAACATGTCACAAGTTGCTTAAACTAATATCTTCTGATTGGTCAGTTCCTAGGTATGTTGTCTTCTGATTGGTCAGTACCTAAGTATGTTGTCTTCTGATTGGGTAGTTTCTAGGTGTGTTGTTAATTGCATTTCGCAATTCTTATTGCACTTCTAGCAACGGTATACCAGGCTTATCAAAAAAGGGAACACCTTCATGACCACGATTCTAATCCTGCTGGTGCCTAAATTCTGTTCCTGGTCAAGAAGTTACATTCAATTTCATGTTAATACCTGAGTTATGCAATACATGAACGTATAGCTTGCAATTCTTTATGAGCCCATGGGCTTAGCAATAGCATAATGAGAGCATTGAAAGAATCACAATAGGTCAATTTATGAAGGTCTTACTTTTTCTACGTCCTGTAAAATTAGCTTTATAATTAGCATTCATTGGTACTTTTCATTCTCGTATATTTCATATAGGAGGAAAACTCGTAGAGTTAGTATAATTTAAACAATTGCTGGCAAGACTACAGTTTAACGGACACCCGAAGCGCTTGTATGGGGAGTGGGCTCGTTTTGCTTAGGATTATGAGGGTAGGGTTTGGGTCAGCGTCCAAGGTGTCCGCTAAACTGCAGTAACCCCAATTGTTAAATAATTGTTTAATACGTTGTCTACAGGATGTATCACAAAACTGCAATGTTATAATTTGTATAAAGGAAATTAAACAATAGAATTTAAATGGCTATGCCTTTAAGTCATACGCTAAGCGATTTGTAATTGAACAAATTATAATTCACTTTGAAAGGTTAGAGAAGGATCACGTGTGTTCTATGGAATTAAGAGTCTCGAGCATTAGATAGAAATTCCCGAAAATTATATAGGAATTTTTATTTAATGCGAGGGTATCTCAATCCCATAGGACACAACTGATTATGCACTAAGCGTCTTAGAACATGGCCAAAGTCACGAAGGATTCTATTATAGTACTAAATTTGTCCCATGCATGTTTTCAAACAAGTCATTATTAGTTTGCAAAAATTGTTTTTTGGTGTAAAACCTTTTTTTACTAGCAAGATAAGCATAATTATCAGGACCATCAAAAACAAAACAGAATACAAAAGAAGGCAATAAAGCGACTGACACATATGACACATGCATCAGCATAAGCACAGCAACTTGACGTTAGCATAAATGAAAAAAACAAAGTGAAAAGAAAATCCTTTTTCTTTTATTTCCTTCAATCTCTAGAGAATATGCTTTGCTTTGTTTAATCGCTTGTGCTTATGTCGCTAGTGAAAACTAGGCTTAAGAAAGCTAATTAAATGCAAAAATTAGGTAGCATTTAATGTCTTTAAGTAGTTCTAAGTTTTCTAAAATTGCTAAGATTTTTGTTTTCGTGCAATGAATGAGCATACAAGTTACATTGTATGCTCATACACAGAGCTACAAAAGGCCAAGTTTTCCGGTTATGTCAGTTTCAAAAGCACTTCAACAACTTTCTTAGAAAAATAAGAAGAAAGAAGCATGTGTTGGTACGGCGAATACACGACATACTTTAGAAGTTATTGAACACGTGGAAACACGTATGTTGTTTCAGTTTAAGCAATACACATGTGTTTTCTTTTAACTTTGTGAGCAATTATTTTCTAATTCGTTCGTAAGATTTATTTTAACTTTAAAATTGTGCACAAGAATACATTTACATCATCGAAATGCATTTGAAGCGAGTTAAAATACATCTCATTGTTAATTGTTCTGGTATGTAATGTAGAGTTACGACAATCATTAATATTCTTTACACTCTTTAGTATTTGCTGTTTAGAGAATACAAGTTAGAAAAAGAGCAATAAAAAACAATATCTCGTTAGTATTCTCTACATAGAGAATACTTATGAGAAATGGAGAATACCAATGAAGTATTGTATTCCATTGTTTTTACTCCAACGCCAACATGTAAGCCATTGCAATTCTAATGTATGAACTTGTGCGTGTACAAACTATGGTTTTTGCCGTCTTTTAGAGGAATTTTATCTCATTTTCTTTTGTCTTTAATGCATTCGGCGCATATAAAGTTCAACGTTTGAAAATGGCAATGAAATAATCACTAATAAGTTGATTATGCCTTAACGTTCATTCTGTGAAAATAGCATGACCGGAAAAACTTTTTTCCGTTTACAAAGACTAATTAATGATTGAAAATTAAATCTATTTTTCTCTTTCTGCATATTTATTTGCTCAATTCACATGGTTTGTTCACTTCGGTGACTGTATTTTTTAATCTTTTGTCAACGCTTGGTTTTGTTTGACACCTGCTGAGCTGAGCATTTCCATTTAAACGAAAGCTGTTTTTGTAGGATTTCATGTTTCTCACGCATGAGTTTGGGGACCTAAGATTAAAGATAGGGTGGGTGCATGCACGTGGGGATAAAACATTCGTATTTGGCAAAATCGAATGCCTAAACTATGTTTATAATACTGCACTAAATTTTCACTTGTAACATAGCACAAATATATTGTCTAATTTATCATATAGCTAGTTCCTGTAATTAGTAAAGTGTAGAACACAAGTTTTTAGCCTGTGTTTTTACGACTTTTAAGTTTTAGCCTGCTACAGCTACCACAACCTTTGAAAAATACTTTCCCATTTACAAACACCTACAAAATACTAACGGAAAATTCCAACACTCACTTTGTGTTTGACAATCTTAGATGATGAAAATACCTCTAGCTCAAGTTAGCTATCTACACAATAAACGCAAACACAACTAGACCTGAACAAATTGTAAATAATTTACTCCTTTTACGGTTTTAATGCATGCAGGGGGTATAAAGGTTACAATTGGAAACAATATGCAACAAAAGGTTACATTAAAGCAAATTTATGGGTAAAACTCTCATCATTTTATTATGATACATGCTAAAGACATGGGCTTAGAGAGATTGATAATCAAAAGGTGGGTATGATTTTCACATATTCATGTCATATAATTCGTTAAAAACAATGAATGTCAAAAGAATTCAAGACAACAAATTATGCATATATGAATATGAACCGCCCAATTTACATTTGACCTAACTGTTGCTTTTCTGGAAAATATCCTTAACATATGATTTCTAAGAACAATCAAAAATTACAATTTCTAAGAATAATCAAAAATTAGAATTTCGAAGAACAATGAAAAATTACTATTTAATGATTACATTATGCACAAAAGCATACTGGTATAAGATAAATGTCCAAAGAAAACTATTTTCTTAAAAATCATTTTGTGAGAGCCATTGCTGTCTCCACCATTTGAATAATGATGATTTATACGTTGTATTTACAAGTACACGTAATCTCAGGTAAGGTCAATTATCATTTAGTTCAGCAATCACTTAATTGTTCTATGTTAACAGAACGTTTCCCAATCATTGCTTCCGCTGGCAATACCTGCAAAAGTCAAACGTTAATGAGACTTGTTGAAGAATCAAGATGTAGTGTCGTTCAGTAGAGGACGGTTAAACAGTTACAGCAATTATATCTCCAGTTTAAAATACTTTGCAGCTAACCCTGTTTGAGCTATTTTGGTTCTTATTTTAAATTTTGTGTTATCTTTACGATTATCTAGGTGTTGGCACGTATCTTTTTCATTACGGCTTATGATTGATTCCAAGTACAATGGAGTACAATACGAAATAGAAATAATAAAGATCGAGTAGTTTATTGTTATCGCAAGTACACAATCGGAGAATACACTCATATTATATTATATAGTTACCACATTATTTAGGGGCTGCAAGTACAATACTTCAAAACACAACAAATGTTATTTTCAGTGATATCTGCAGGAATTTGTTAGCTGGAATTCAAATGATAAACGCCAATAGCACACATGTGTCAAGCTTACGTACGTTACGTATTGTAAATTATTAATCGATTATAGAATGTTCTTCACCTTTCTAAATTTCGCCCATTTCATTTGTTTCCTCGTGGTATTCATCAGTTACTCTCATAACTGCCTCCCACCAAAGATTACCATTAAGAGTAAATGTGCGACCAGTGGCTTTCTCGTATCGGAAGATATGAGGTGTATACGGTTTCGACCAGGTATTTGTAAAACGGTCGTACTTCATGACGTCGCCCCAAAATGGACGCATAACTTTAAATCTCACTTCGACATTTGTTGCGCTTGCAGAAATATTCACTCTCTTCCCATCACCACTTACTTCTTCTGTGACTTTTCTTTCGTTTAAATAATAGGTTACAATCATCTTTGAGATCCACGGACCTTTGGAGTAATATTGAATGGTTTTTCTGGTCAACTGCTCTTGGCTTTTATCGTCGAGAATTGAGTGTTGTTGGGTCTTTGACGCAAAATTTTCATTATTTGAGCAGGTTGAATTTCTTTGAGGGCAATAAATTTCGTCAGTTGATAAAAAACCCATTTCTTTTGTTTCTCCATACTCATTACTGACTCCCATGACTGCCTCCCAACAAAGATTACCACTAAGAGTAAATGTGCGATTTTTTGCTTTTTGGTATCGGAAGATGTGAGGTGTATATGGTTTTAACCAGGTCTTGTTAAAACGGTCGTACGTCATGACATCACCCCAAAATGGACGCATAACTTTAAATCTCACTTCGACATTTGTTGCGCTTGCAGAAATATTCACTCTCTCTCCATTACCACTTACTTCTTCTGTGACTTTTCTTTCGTTTAAATAATAAGTTACGATCATCTTTGAGATCCATGATCCTTCGGAGTAATATTGAATAGATTTTTTGGTCAATTGTTCTTGGCTTGTTTTATCAGCAATTGAGCGTCGCTGTGTTTTTGACGCAAAACGTTCATTATTTGTGCAGGTTGAATTACTTTGATTGAAATCGATTTCTACTGTTGATGAAAATTTCTCTCTGTTTGAGACCTATGTGTCAGGGGGTTTGTAGATGCTCCATACTTCACGGGCAATTCGTTTCCTCGATTTATGTGACGACCGATTATTTTTCTGCCATTTTCGTATACAGTATTTCGTTGACAAGTTAATGATTCATTTATAGTTATCCCTTCGATATCGTTGCAATTCTCGGGTCCAAGAAGCTTTTCTTTATTTTTATTGTCTATATGCGCAAAATTTCAAACTTGTATGATTCCTTATGACGATAGCAATGATTCTCTGTTGGTTGGAGTGTTTTTGAAGAAGTCGGAAACTTGCAAAAGGAGACCAACTTTGTAATAGTTTACAGTGATTTTAACATTGGAATGGTTTTCAACGACTAAGCATTTATATTGATCATCCGCCATTGAGTTTTGTTTTTGAACTCTTGATTTATCCAATTTTCTTTATGAGACACTGTCGTCTTAATGTTCAAAGTTCTGCTTAATATGTCATCACATTAGTTCCTAAGAAAAAAAAATCATTGTAAAACTGAAGTATTAACATTTTTTAATTGCAGACTTGGAGATTGCAGATTACGCAAATAAATTAATGAAAAAGAATGGAAATCTGCATTGATAATGATAAACCATCAAAATCATCGAAATCTGTATTGATAATCTTTTTCACACGGATATGGCTGTACCACACATGTCCGAGGAGGCTTTTAATGAATTAATGATAGCGGCTACTAAAGGAGTTAAATTTAGTTTTAGTGATATCATGTACAAACAAATTGATGGAGTGGCATTGGGTTCTCCTCTTCGACCAGTATTTGCTAATATTTTCGTAAGGTTTTATGAATGTAAGATGTTTGCCTCTTCTGGGCCTCCAGATGTGCTGTGGTACAAACGTTATACGTTAACGACACCTTTCCCCTTTTTCATAACAACAAAAATCGCCAATTATTTTTACATAAACTTTGTTCTTTTCACCCTTCTTTAAATTAAACGTCTGAACATGAATCAAATTGTCGTTAGCGTTTATGGATGTTCTTGTGCATATACGCAACGGTCAATTCCTTACAAGCATTCATCGCAAGGCAACTTTTACGGGTTTGTACACACGCTTTAACTCTTTTTCTTCACATAGAGAAAAGATTTCTTTAGTAAAGTGTTTAATAAAGCGAAAGCTTAGACTGTCATCAAAGGAGTTCATTGAGGGTGATCTCAACTATTGAAAAAGATATTTCTCTCAAATGGATATCCGGGAAAAATGCTTGATAAACTTTTTTCATCCACAAAAAATGAGCAGAACAGGCCTTTTGGACCAGCTAAGTGCCCTGTGTTTATCAAACTTTTATGGATGTGATGATATTGAAAGAGAAAATAAGAATATTACGGAGAATTTGTTTTTTGCAAGCCATGCTATCTTTCTACCACCTACCACAAAGAATCTCTACCGGCAACACTTTTAAGCAATGTAATTTACGAATATAAATATGAGTGTGATGCTCGCTATGTAGGTAGAACGTCTCTAAGGTTGGGTGATAGGATCGAACAGCATGTAACAACTTCAATCAGGAAGCTATAACGGTCGTCAGGTTCGCGACCTGAATAAATTGGTGAGACTTAGAGGAAAGGTTCGCTCGTTGGTAGCAGCAATCCGGAATTTTACGATAACTGAGCGCGCACTCCGCACTCTTATGTCTAAGTACGTCAGCAAAAGTGCTTTTTTATTTTATTTTGTTTTGTTTTTTTTGAAAAAGAAATCTTCAAATAACTTTTGGTTGTTATACTTATCTGTAAATGTGCTGATTCGCCAATGATCTCATTGATTTTTTCTGTATATACGTAAGGCCCTGTGTACACGATACAGGATTAGTTAGATACCGGATTACTTTTCGTACCGGACAGGCCTTGCGTTCATACGGCTCCGCTGAAATCCGATACGCTTTATATCGTTTTTTCCGGAGCGATTTGACTCCGCTGTGGAAGTGGTATAAAAACCAATCCGATACGTTCCGTTGTCGTGTGAACGTTCAAATGCAATACGTTCCACTTTGGCAACTAAGAAGTCCGTGCGATTTTCAAAAATGAAAGCAAACATAGCGATACAAACTATGTTTTAAATGAATAATCCGCCAGCAAATGTAATCTTCAACATGGCATGTTTAAGCTTTTAACAATGTATTATCGTAGTGTGAAAAGCTTCTTTCTAGTATTATTGTAATGGCAACATATATTCGGTCGTATTTGGACTTTACACTCTTCCAGTCTTTGCGCCCATTCGTAAAAAACCTTAATACGCCTAAGAAAAAACTCTACTTGGTTATCTGTCAAAAAAATTCTCATTTTCTCACGAAATATTTGAATTGGCAACCATCGTCGTTGCCGCTTGCACGTACAAGTACTGGGGCGATATAAAAACTTATGTATCGTCTTACGAATTCGGCATCGTGTGAACAGAGTGCATTTTTCGTATCGGATTGCTCAACGAATCCGGTACAAGACGAATCCGGTATCGTGTGAACAGGGCCTAAGTCAAAATAACTAATAGGAGAACTGCATTTGAATTAAGTCTACAAATATTAAGTGCATGAACAAGTTTAAAATTGAGTTGTAATTTCAACATAATTTTCATATTTCATAGTCCCATATTCTCATCGTGTTAATATTTTAGCAATATTTTAAAATATTCTCATAAATCCTTCAAGATTATTTGGAATTTATAAAAACACAAGCTCTATAGTTACATCATTCATTGTCAAAATTGTGAAACTCTGTGCAATGTAAGTACTAACAGTCTCTTTGGAGGTTTCTAGCAACAATGAAAAAACATTTCAATACTTGGATGAAATGTTTATTTATAAAATAGAACTGCAGCTTACAGGGCCTTCTTTAAGGTTTTTTTTTCTATCAAGACCATCATATTTAAATATCTTTATATGGTTTTCCTACAGCCCAATGAAATATGAAGCAATCAAAAAATCCAGTTTATTAAAATTTCATTTTAAAATGAGTGATATAAGGTTAAATAGTAAAAATGTTACTGAATAACATAAATATAGCATAATGCTTTTTTTTGTGTTTCTTAATAACATTGCGACTATTTAACTTTATATTTATCGTCATATTGGCAAGCGGAATGCTTATGAAAATCTACGTTAACATCGGTATAAGATTCATTTTTTTCAGTATGAAGCGGGATGCTTTCACTGAAGGGCAATCATGTATTGCCAAACATTAACATCGGTATATGTTACTGTATATTTAATATTGAATTCGAAAAAAAAATGAACAAGAATATTCAGTTGATTAATCTCTGATAAACCTTTCACCTTTACTTATCACAAGCTCGGGACTTAAAGCGCAAGGCTCAGGGGCGGATCTAGGGTATGTCAAATCAGTCACGCGACTGATGTTTATAGTTCCAAATTTATTTATCAAATTTAATGATAGCAATTTTTTGTGATTATTAAATTTCCGTCATTCCCGGATTTCATCGTCAAAATTCTGTTTTATACATGAAAACTTATATAAGTACGTTGGTACTAAGTAAACAGATCAATGGATTTTAACATATATGGAATTATATTAACGGGCTGACTGATAAGCGGGGAGGCTCGACTGTTTCGACGGATAACGGCGTTCAAGAACGCTTATTTAAGCCATTCTATTGGTCAATAGCCAGATCAGTGGACAATCTGGAATAATCTCGACCGATAAGCGGGGTGGCTGGACGGATAAGGTAATCCAATTGCTATCGTGTAATTGGTTAGTTTAAATTTTCGTCTTACTGTGATTGGTTTCGACTGATAGCCAACTGAACTAACATAGTCAATCTCACTGTCTGAATTAAATGTTTGATCGTTTCATAGTAATTTTTATAAGCATGATTGAAACTACAATCATGCTTATAATTAGGCAAAACAGAAAAGTATTTTCATGATTACTAGGTAATTTTTCTAATGATCATTATAATTTCTAAACTAAATTATTTCAGATTTACATTTAAACTAGTTTTGATCATATGAAAAGATATTAATCATGACCAGTAAGCATGACAAGGTGAACCAATTTTAACATTCGTGTAATTACCATGATTAAAGGCATGTTGGTTACATTCTGTTTGTATTCGCTTAAATACAATGCTAGTGTTAATTATATATATGAACCTTGCATATACTTACAGAAGATAATAGTCTAGTGAAGGCCTAATAAACATTAATGGCATTAAGCTGTCCTTGTGCATAAATTTTACTCAAATAATCTTTGTTTAATCTTTGGCAGAAAAAATTTTGAGTTTTTTCTCAAAAGGTAAAATTGCTGGCACTGTATGTGGAGATGGGTAAAGGTTTACAATAAACTTGCATGGTTTGAAGTCTGAGCTTTTCTATATCTATGAACTGTCACTTGTAGTAACTCATTTCGAACTCAACTCATCACATAGATTTGTGAATGGGGGTCTCTAGGGGGTCTATGCCTGACATGTCTAAATGTCTAATAAAACAGATGACAATTTAGCTAGTTTGGTCATAGACACGTTTTTATTCTCAAAAATGAATTCTCTTTTTAGGAATCAATGTAATATGTCTACAATCAACGAACACGTCATCCAAACTCACCGTTTTTTATTGAAGACGAATGTTTCGTGTTTTTAGTCACGCTATGCTTCTTGTACAGGAAAGATGCTCGTTGTTGATGTTGACAGTTCTTAGACTTAAGACAAACATTCCACGAAGGTAAACTTCATAACCAACTATCACGTCTGTATGTGATAATTTTAACTGCGCAACAGCTTTATAATTAGATTGTTACAAAATAAAACAAATTCCGAAGAGGGACATCTCGTTTTCTTGATATTCAAGATATTACAAGAGTTTGAAACAAAAGATGGCGCATTAGATTGTTATGTACAGTGCTGCCACTCCAATATTTCAAATTTCACTACGTGATTGAATTTCACTACTCACTCAGTGATTTCACAAAACGCGGCAGGATTACATTACAGGATTACTATTTTGATATAACTACACGCCAGGGGCGGATCTAGAGTATGTCAAATCCGTCGCGCGACTGATGTTTGAAATTCAAAAATTACCTATTCATATTAATTAAAAACTCATTAATTATTCTTACTTTACAAGAAGTTGCTATCGCAAGGGGGGATTGCTGCCCCGACCCCTTATCTGGAAAAATTGCATGGTTCAGAACGTAGTGACATCCATTGGAGCCACCTCCGTTTACAGCATTCTAGGTGGTTTCATACATACGTTATGATTGGGTGATTAGAATGATAGACAAAGAACTTTTACATGCGTGTCTCTAACTTTTA